TCCTGCAGTGACAAGTTACGCCTTTACGATGCTGTGACGTCGCCTGATACCTGTCTTGGGCCGGGATTTGAAACAGCTGTAACTTTGTAGCTGTTTTCTAAAAATAGAAACCTTACTGCATTTTCTAGTTTAGGAAACAGAAAGGAAAACCAGTGCCTTCACACCTAGGTAACACCACGGTGTGGCCCCAGCGTTTTTGCCCGTCTGTAGGTACTTGGAGCTGCTTTCCAGTCCTGCCTAGAGCCTGCCTGTCCCCTTGCTTGCGGAGCCGGGAGCAACACTGATACTTCAGCTCTAGCCCAAGAGAGGGGAAAGGACTGAAATCTCTTCCCCTTCATATGAGATGTATAATGGGCTTACATGTACAATAAATATGTAAATATGCTCTGGCTGTTAAACACCTGAAGCGCTTAAATGGTTACTGTAAGTACCACCATGATCCCCTCGAGCTGTCAAGGGGGACAGGACAGGGGACTTCCCCTTCAGGCTGGACGTTTCCTTGCCTTAACAAGAGTGATCATCTCCTGCGTTGCAAAAAAATAGATTTCCATCTCTTTCCCGGAGCGCTTGCTGAGCCGGTTACAGGTGTAGCACCAGTCGTGGCTCACCCGTGGCAGGAGCGGTTGAAGCAAGCAGCATGAATGTGGCAAAGCCCAGAGGCAAGGCTGTTCTCCCTGTGTAAACGCAGCCCCTGACCCCCCCCGGGCTGCTCATGTTTTCCCTCTCCCCTGCAGTACTTCCACAAGACGGTGGGCCAGCTCCTGCCGCTGGCCTACACCCTGCTGAAGAGGAACCTCTTTGCTGCCATCATCGAGTCACACTTGGCCAACCGGCGGGAGGAGAAGGTGGACCAGCTGGCACCCTGAGCCAGGGCCCCCCAGGGCGGGCTGCATTCTTGGGCCTGGGCTTTTCTTTTGGTTTTGTGTTTGTGGGTTTTTTTGTGTTTTGTGTTTTTGGTTTTTCTTTTTTGTACTCTGCAGCAGTGTCCCCTGTGGTCAGTAAAGTGTTTCTGAGGAAAGAGGTGTCTCCCCGTGCTGCCTGCTCACGCTGGGGCTGGGAGGGGGGAGGCATGTTTGGTTCTTCTTAAACCTACCACCTTCTTATACCTACCAAACTTCCATTTCCTTGCTCTGGGTGGTTTTTACTGCCATGATGCATTTCTTCGGGTAAAAAAAATGCCATTAGCAGTGTTGCCTTTTGCATTATCACACAGCACTAAATCTGGTCTCCGTCTGCTGGATCTGGTTGAATTAACAGGAAAGAGAGAGGGTTAAAAACCACCTAACTGACATTACAGCATAAATTAGAAATTTCACTGCAGTTGCTACCTATTGGCATCCCCACTTTTCACTAATCTGGACTTTTAAAAATAGCATCGAGGGGATTTTGTACAAGATGCACGTTATTTGTTTTCAAGTTCACTGGTACAACTAACGAAGATGACAGGCCACTAGCAACATGCTCAATTTCAAAGTGGTCCCTACTTTTTAGCAAAGGATTGTACCTCCAATTGTCCCTCCCAGCATAAACTAAGATAGACTTCACAAAGTGCACCTCCAGTTTTAAAGGAAAAAGGTCATGGTATGCCATTTCTGTAAATTTGCCAACCCCACCCCTTTCACTCAGCATATAAATGTTCCATTTGTTCAAGCACGAGCATATGTGGGCTTGTTGATCGGCCCCTGATTTCATGTTTTATGCATAAAACAGACACATTCTTAAAAATTATGTTTCCTTCCCCCTTTTTACCTTCCAAGCAGAAGAGACCTTCGTATTAATGCCCTGTAAATCATGCAAGTAACAAAGAGTATTCACCTTTTGCATTGTTATTTAAGTATGAAGTTAATCTGCAACAATGGGGACCTTAGTATGGATTTTCCCATTTTCCCTACTAACCTTCTCACTGAGAAAGAAAACTCTTAACACCAGCTGAAGAAACACTGAAGTGCTCTACATCATTACATTGGGGACAGATGTTTTTAGCAGGGCCTGGAGTGATGGGGCAATGGCTTTGAACTGGAAGAGGGAAGATTTGGATGAGATATGAGGAAGAAATTCTTCCCGGTGAGGGTGGTGAGGCAGCGGCAGAGGTTGCCCAGAGCAGCTGTGGCTGCCCCATCCCTGGAAGTGTTCAAGGCCAGGTTGGATGGGGCTTTGGGCAACCTGGTCTGGTGGGAGGTGTCCCTGCCCAGGGCAGGGGGTTGGAACTGGGTGGGCTTTAAGGTCCCTTCCAACCCAAACCGTTCTGTGAGTCTATGAACAGACATCATCAGCAGATGTCTAACTTACCATTTTTTTAAACCAGATGTACTAAAAATGTACTGTGTAGAAACTACATCTTCCTGGCTTTTAGAGAGTAAAAGCATCATCTGCTTTTAACTCTTTTAAATCAGGAAGCCAACTATTCTATCATTAAACCAATTTTTTTATTTTGGAGAAAACATACCCAACACTAACCTGATGGGCTGATCTGGCTACTGCTTTGTAGCCAAATACTAGGCAATACAAAGACCGCACCTCCTCCTAAAATTCATTCTTTTCCTTGTTACCCGCTTACTAGTTTTCTGTGTAAAATTCCTAGCTGTTAATTTTCTCTCCGGGAAAAGAAATACAAATATTAACACAAACGTTTGTGAAGACACTGAGGAAACACGACAGAACAATATATGGTCATACAGAAGTTTTTAATGTTTGATTAAATCATCACAGTAATCAGAATTTTTACTGTAATGATATGCAGCTCTACCACACTATTATAAATAAAAACATTAAGATCAATTATTAAATACAGCTCTAGGCAACATCACAGATTAACAAAGAATGCATTCTTCATGAACCAGGAACTGAATGGTTTTTAAAATAAAAAAAAAAAAAAAAAAAAAGAAAAAAAGCGGACACTTTCCCCCTCCCATCAACCACATTATTGTTTTTTTTTTTTTCAAATTAGTAACTTGAGTAAGGCGCTCGAAGTCAGAACATTTTTGTTGCACAGCACAGGCACAGGTACTTCGTTACCAGAACTTTACCAGTTTACCAGAAGCCACCGTACATATCACCAGGGAAAGTGGAGCAGGTGAGAAGGGGGAGCGGAGATGCACGCCTTCTATGCAGCACCTGAGATCCATATGGAAATTACAGAACAGGGCAGGGGCGTGCGCTATACGTTAACTCCGACGGCACAGCCAGTAGAACTGGGCGCGCGTTAGTACCATACACACAGCTGTGTTTTATTGGAGCGTGGGACACGGCAGAGGGTTCAAACTGACTGAAAGCTATTTTTATACGTGTAGCGCTTTTGTATTCTTCCACTGTAGAAAAAACTGAGACAACAACTGGGCATCACAGGCAGCTTCCAAGGCCGCCTGCTCTAAGTGGGCCAAATCCTGCTCTTTGAGAAGCTTCTTCAGGCTTACGCAGTGGAACAGCGCAAGTTTGGAACCGCCAGCACTGACACTGCGTGGAAGAACAGAGGGTTCCTGCAGCCCTCCCATTTTAACACAGCCCCACGCCCCATTTCAGTTCCATTTTTAATACAGGGCCTGATCCCCCTGAGCCCACTGGCACGTTTTGCATTCTACTGGTTCCAGCTGCTGCAAGAGATGAGATGACGAGATGTAAATGGCAGCTTTATATTCGGAGAAATGGGTAAAAATTCAGCAGAGGACTTACGCAGAGGCGTTGCTTTGGAGCTTGCCAAGAGTACCAGAATTTTGGTTCGGTATGTTACTGTACCGAAGAGAAAATCGTACCCAGTACTTTGTGAGTAAAGGCGTTGGGGTACCTGTGAGGAATGCCTTAGAGATACCTACCGTTAGTGTTGTAGACTTCTACCACTTACAGTTTTGCGATTTTGGCAGACTTGTGGGCCTAATTGTTAAAAGAAGGAAATTTTATCTAACCCCATATTATAAAGCATGATTTTTGTCAGCCAGATTTCTTAATTTTTTTCATCCCTGCTTGAGGGTTATAGCATATTGCCTTTTCTCCCTCTGCGTCTGTTTGTGGAGGTGGTGGCTTGATAAAATGAACATGAAACAAATTAATCTAGTGACTGGAAAGAAAGAAAAGCAGTTGGGGATCTGTCCGTTCACCTGCTAGCGTGTGCGTCACTGCTGAATTTTAAAGTCCCGCCAAAGTTCCCAGTACTGGATGTGATTCTGCCCTGCTGCTCATCTTCTGGGGTTATGTATCATTTACACCTCTACAGACTTGAGGGAAGAAAAGAAAAGAAAAAAAAAAAAAAAAAAAGAGTTGCTTCCTTCCTGTTATTTTTAAAACCCCGCAGTTTTTTTTTTTAAAATAAAATATTACTGTTCCAGTTATCCACTAGTAAAGGAAAAAGGAAATCTCAAGGTAATGGCAGTGAAAGTTACATTGGAAAATGATCTTATATGCATGTTGGATCACAAAGAAACCATTTTGTTTAAACCCTTCATCTAGTTGTAAACATTTGCTAATCCTCTGTTACTTGCAGAGGATTATGAATTATTCTATAAAATCACATTAAAAAGGTAAGTAGTTATGTGAGATACTAACCAATTCATATTTAATAGATTTTTTTTAATCCATACAAATATAAATAAAGAATGGTAAAACTTCAAGAAAAATAATATACATTTAGTGCAAGTTATGAGTTACGTTTCTTCCTAACCATGTCAGCAGTGGAACGTCTTTTGTGGAGAAGAAAAAAAAAAACCAAAAATGACCCTTCTCAAATTTTACAGGGGGGAAAAAACCAAACCAAAAGAAGATCTCCAGTGTTGTAGCATGCAGTTTTTACCAGATACACGTATACAGAATTGTTCCAGCTCTTAACTAGCAGAATAGCAGTATTTTTCCCTATACTGCACGACATTGGTATATATCATAGTGTTTTCAATAATACAAAAATTGCATAAGACCAGGTCACGTTATTGATACTTTCCGCAGCAAAACCAGTGTTTTCCTTCAAAACGCTCGTTTCACCTGGTTTTAATTTTTCTCATATCAGGACAGCACAGGGGTTGAAGGAAGTCTCGCACGGTTCTCGCAAGGTTATTACCTGTTCAATCTGGTTTTGTCGCGGCGGATCTGTCCCGCCCCGAGCGTTTCGTGATGTACAAACTCACACGGTTAATGGCACAAGAAAAACCTCCCTTCTTGTGACCGGACCTCAGTAACTCACAGCAACATCTCAATATGAGAAACAACTGCTTCAAAAGGGCACACCAATTTTCAAGAGGCTTTGTTACGGCTCAGGAGAGAGAGAAATAAAGCTCTTCTGGAATGTAGAAAGGTGATGTGTGACAATTAATACGTTTCATGAGTTAACACAACGGTTTTCCATGGTAAAAAGGGCAAGACCTTTGAGTCTCCGTTGAGATGGCTCAATTGGGAGCGATCCCTCCAGGAGCAGGGACTAGTGACAGACCTCTTCAATGCTGAAGGACCAGGCTGGGGCTGGAGGATCGCACCACCTCGCAGGGCTCGCCCGCCGCGCTATCCCGGCAGACCTGACGCCTCGGGACGCCTTCGGCGCGGGCAGCAGCTCTCCCGTCCCACGCTCCCATCAGCCTGCCTTCCTCCTCGCCACGGATTCCCCCACACCGACTCCCGATTTCCAGCAGCACTGTTACGCAAAAAACCCCAGCTCTCGTCTCTGATTTTAGAAGCATCCCCCAGACTAAAGTGTTGTGCTATTCAACAAATGAACCTCCTCTTCCGTTTCCTCTCTCTCCTCAGCTATAGGTTTCAGTTGAACATTATTGAGGCGGGGTCTTGGTTTGCCGTCTGGGCCATATGACGGAGGATATCTTTTTTTGTTATAATGCCAAGGAGGCGCCTGAAAAAGGATAAATGGAAGATTGATATTAATCCAAACAGGAAAAAAAACCCACCCAAACAATAAAGCAGAACAAATCTGTAGCCAAGTCCTTTTTGTTGACAGGAATAGAGCAAAAGTAAACAGCCCGATTTTCTTACTTAAACAAAAACATTTTATTCGTCAAAAAAAAAAAAACTGGAGGAACCACTGGTTTGTTAAAAGACAGCAATGCTGAGACACCATTATCAGATGGTCTCTGACAGCTGTAGTCTGTTTTAATGAAGTACAAGTAATACAAGTAGAGCCCATGACAATTTTTATTTAACTTTTTGTTTCTACAAAAATGAAATTTTGATTAGTGTGTGCCAACAAAAAAGTAAGAGAGAGGGACAAAGAAAAAAAAAAGGAGGTATGAAAGAGAAGTGATATTGATCCCATTTCGTAAGGGAGGCATGTTCCAACCTAGCCATCAGTGATGTACCGCTTGATGGCCCAAAATCCTGACAGCAAATCAAACTCCCCTTCCCTCCATTTTTAAATCCTAAGGATCCTTCCAGTCTGATGCACTGGCTCAGGCTGAATGTATTCATAGGAGCACACTTGATCGGCTGTGAAACTTATGTAAAATAGACCGTGGTTAACTAGTTTTTGGAGTTCACAGCTTTAGAAACAAAAATAAATTTTGAATAACACAAGAAAATTTTCGTTTTCCAAATTTAGATACTGTGCTCTTATGACAGGGTCTTCACGGCTTTTAAAATTACAACTCTGTGAAATACCAAAAAGGGTGAGACTGTCCAAAAGGATAATATCACAGGAGAAGCAAAGAGCAGAATGAATGAGCCGCTGCCCTTGTTATTATTCTGGTTAGTACATTTCATTTGGTCTTATTAAAGGACGCATGAAATACTTGTGAAGTATTAGCGTAAAATGAGAACATAATTAGCATGTTTTGCACATAAGCAGCTAAACTCGGTGGCTATGTTTAGTAGAGATGTAACTAGCGACCCATGTCCAAATTAAGACAAAGTCTACCATCTAGCTAAGGTTAGTTCACAACATCACGGTTAAAACAATATCCAGATTCTGAAGTCAATCGCCAACACAGCAGCGTGCCACTTTAGTGGCTTTAGGGTATCACTGAACATTCGATAAAGGAGCACATCCATTGCTGCAGGAGACAGCAGCAGAATCACGGGACTTTACATAAAATCACAGGACTTGACTAAAAATCAGAGTACTTTAAAAAAAATCATGTTGATGAAGGGGGATTGCAGGGAAGATCTAATGCTGTGATACATTAAAAACATGCTTGGCTTTGCTTCTCAAGAGACGTGATACTTACTTCGCTATTTAACAGCCATTTAAAGCTGTCAAGGTCAGAAAAATAAATTGGCATATACGAAAAACTGCATTAGGCGGGGAAAAAGCATTCCTAGCTGTGTGCCTTCCCACCGGGGGAAATCAGCAGCTCAACTAGATGGATCTACGGGCTCTCGAGGACAAAAATCTCAGAAAGCCTACCGTTTACTTTCCTTTAATGTTGTGACTAACAATACGTCCATCTTAACGGCTTCATTTCTACAAAAGGATTTTGCACATATTGTTTTATGGTTTAATACAAATTTTTAGCATAAGATGGTTTCATTGTTCAGCCGATGTCATAAAAGCCCTGAACAGTTCACAAGTTTCATGCTTCCTGACTTCTAATGTGTCTAATTATGAGATCTGATATATCTAATCACCAAGGGTTCGACGTGCTGCTTTAGTTGCTCGAGATGCTCTAATATGTTCTTCTTTGTGATGATCCCCAAGACAATCCTGAAACAGATCATGTTATGCTAATAACTGTGTGTGAAATCAAATAAAAAAAGTTCTAATCATAATGAAAAAGGATTAGAGCAGAACAAAACAAACGAAAAAAAAAAAAGAATGGTTGCAGGAAAGCTAATGGGTAATTAAATGAAAAATGATTCGAAAGTCAGTACCCCTTCCCAGACATTGCTTTTTTTTCTTTTTCTCCCAAAACGCTGAACGCAAGTGGATCCTCAGCCACCCCAGAGCAGGACGTTTCTCATACCGAGTAGACGTCGGGGAAGCATACTTCACCCCTTCTCCCCAAATTCACCTCTCCTCAGGTTTTAGAGGCACTGAAACTAAAATCTCCTTTCTTTCCTTTGTTTAACAGTTATTTCTCCTCACGCACACAGATCATTATTCACATTTTAACAAGCCACAGTAGATGAACAAAGTAATAACTGCGTGAAGCCATAGCAACTGAGGTCTGAAGCTGCACTATTGAGCAGAGTTATCTGGTGTCCCTAGAAACATCAAATTCAGACAAATTTCAGCTTCATGACAGTATAAATCAAGAGCAACTCCCTGGAATGGATATTCTGGTACAAATTAGGAAGAGTGAGGCTCGGTCTTTACGCATCCCCATGTTTGTCATCAGCACCAGTTTCTGCACAGTTCCTACTCCAGTCTGGACCGGAACCAATAAAGTGACGTGTATCTTGATGTGGGTAGATGCAATTTGCAGGCAATTTGCCAAAATACAAATTAATCCTTGATGTCCGCATGGCTACGTGCCACGGCTAAATACTGCTAGTACTAGTATTTACTACCCGATCCTGTTGTAAGGGACAGTGTGCTCATGGGATATCACAAGTTTGTAAACTGAAGTAGGACAACAAATATGAATGTCTGAAAACAGCAAATGATTAAAGCCATCCACACTCGCTGCTACTTTATCGCAAAATAGTTGAAAATTTACAGTACAGTTTGACATAGCTTTGCACTCTTAAGCTTTCTTTAGAGTTGATTTTAACATCAATGTCAACGGTTCACAACAAAAAACTGAGACAAAACATCATTGTAGTAAATATTCTTCATTGAAGTTTTCTCAACTCAAATTTCCCTCCTCAAAACAAGAATAATTGCGTGCCTGCACAGACTTCTAAGCGTCAGATCGTGATGTCCTTTCCCCATCAGAGAAAGGTTTTTAAAGTCATTTACGCTTCTGAAAACATCTACTCGCCATTCAATACAGGGATGCATGGAATAAAAAAAGGTGGGAGAGCATTTAAAATAAGTTTGTTTTAAAATACATCTGAAAAAATAAACTTGGAAACGAACATTGATATTTAAATATTTGCCACTTATAGCAGCAATCCTTTTGCCCACAGCAAAACAAAGAAACTCCCACTCATATTTCAGATTTCTTTGGTTTTGTCCCATGGACACTGATTCTAAGTAACATGGATGAGCAGACAATGTTTCACTCCCCAGGCACCTTAAAAGACAGGCCAAAGAGAAAGGAAGATACCAGGGTAGGAGCTGCAATGCTGCGTGCCAAGCCTTGAACACAAGAGATACAGGAAAGCAGAATGTTAAAGGAACAGCTACACAGAAAAGGACTGTGTAAAAAAAGAAAACGAGTAGTTTAGATAAGAGGCAATTATAACGAACATTTAAGTTTCCATGCCTAGGGCTGATTTATTTAGTGGGTCATTACATGACAACTCCCTATAGTCTCATTTACAAACATTCTAAATCTTAAAATTACTTTCTTGAAATATTTTGAAGCGTAGAAACAAAAGTTGCAGATTGAAGTTCCAGAACTAGTAGCCGTTATTTAGTGGTTACCATTCCAAAATCAAAAGCTTGGTGGTAATCGCCATCGCTGAACTCCAGAAGAGGAAACAGTGCCTGGATCATTTCTCCCTTACTTTTGATGAGCCCAGATATTTGTAGATGTTCAATAGCCGACACGCTGCACATTGCCAGAACGTATGTAAGAACGAGGAAATACAGGCCTGTATTTCCTTAGACTGTGTACCACGCAAGGCGGAATTTCTGCGAGACAAGTTGTGTCTCCTCCCCATGCAAGTTGCACACACTAAACTTGCTGAATGGGAGATAATTTTTAATAGAACATCTTAAAACGACCGAAATCACCTGCCTGCTTAGTTGGAATACAATGGAGAATTAAGGATTTGAGAGAGGTGCCACAGCACAGCACCTTCTTAACAAACAGTCAGGGTCCTCAGCTGCAGTACCAAACTTACGGGTTCAAATACCATGATCCTGGAACACATCCTGGTTCAAATACTCTGATCCTGGAAGTGAAAACGACTGGATCTAACACAACGAACAGCATTGCTGCCACTTTACTCACCCGTTGTGTGTTACAAGGCACTGCCTCAGACCCAGCTTCCGGAAAATATCCACCACGATTTCCATTGGTGTGTGGTCTGTCACGGTGAAAGGGCTCATATCAAGTATGCTTCTAAGCTTCAAAGGTCGAGGGCTTTCTGCTGGAAGCGACGGGGTATGCTGGGCAAAACAGACCCTGGAACTGCCAACAATCCCTTCCTGCTTCTTCCTAGCACTTTCTTTAAGAAAAAGAAGGGAGGGAGGGGAAACAGCAGAGGAGGAAGAGTTTACATTCTTGGAGTAAGATAATTTAGCGCAAACAGACAGATCAATCAACACCAGCAGACCCTGGTGTTCTTCTCTTCTCTAGATGCCGGTATTCTGATACAGGCTATTCTGCTGCATTTCCACAGCCACTGCTTTATCCCTAAGAAGTTTCTGTGCAGATATCACTAAAGCCATCTACCGTACAGCTTTCGCCATTCTTCAGCTACTACCTTTCTCACTCCAATAACTAACTTTTACTTACTATAAAGAGGTGCAAAGACTTATAAAAAAAATCACATGCAGGAAGCACATAGGCGGCTGCTGAAGACACTTGTCAAGGGGAAAGCTGATCTCAACTGACAGCTCCCCTGTTGCGATTCCAGTAGCTGCAATTATTGTTGGTTTGAAACCAAAGAACTCATTTCTGACCGCTCTGAAAACGTTGTCTTCTTGTTTATAATGAATTTATTTAGCTTTCTGTGAACTGGAGCCTCTTCCTTTTTGTGTCTTCATCATCTTGGTGACAACAGCATCCCCTCCCGTACCCCAAACTATTTCACTATTTCAGCCAAAATCCAAGACTAAGCAACTTGCACTGTGCAAGCTCAGCAGCTGAAACGAGTCTTACCTGTGGAAGTGTATCATTAGAAGAGTGTTCTGTTATTCCCCCATTTACTCTTAAGTAAACACAAATTTAAACCAGTACAATGTCTATAATAATTTCCAAGTTTTGGACATTCCTATACATCCTACAGCGTGATGCCATAGTATATACAGCATGAAGACCACAGGCTAAAGTTTTACTGAAGTAAACAGTGTTGTGTTCACAAAACATTTTTTAAAAAATGTTTCAGGAGACTTTTGTGTCTCTTCCACAAGTGTCTTAAAGAGGTATTTGTCAATCTACGATCTTATGAATTAAAAAAAGAAAGTAGTTTAAGATGCAACTTCTATCACTGTTTTCATGCAGCAAATGTTACAGTTTTGTAACATTTTCTTACATAACAATAATTTTTCTCCCTTGGTTATGACAGCATCCTCAAAACCCACAGAATTTATCTTGCCAGCGCACAAAGCATCGTCACAAGTATCACACGAGCTCTAACACTCACGCAGAGAAAGAGGGCCCAAACAGGGCTCGCGTGCTCATGTGCCCAGGGCCACATTTCCCACTACACAAACAAACTGAAAGACAGAAACCTAAAATAATTAATATTTTGTTTATCTCTCCGTAATACAATCTTAGTTGTTATAACAACAGTAAATAACATACTGTCAGAGAGAAGTATGATATACATTTAAATTTTAAAATTACTTAGTAATTCTCACAGAATCCTGCTGTCCTAAAGTGAGAATTACTCAATTTTGAAGACTAATGCTAGCGTAGCATCACTCGAGGAAAAGAGATACCAGCAAAAGCCTCAAAACAAACAAAAATACCGGACTAGATGATGTTTTGCCTTACTTCACTATGACAAATCTTGTTTTCATGAGAAAGAGATTAACATTTCCTCTATTTCAGAGCCTGCTATTGAAGATAATCATATACTTGAATAAAGGAACAGACAGCCTGCGCGAGGTATCTGAACCTGAAGTAAGTCTACAAACACACAGAGTGAATTCTGCTTTAAGCTCTAAAATCACTTAAATTGGCATATATAATCACGCAATACTGGAAGATAATTACCTATTGCAATAGTTAAATCTCTTCTTAGAGCAAAGCCCACGAGTCTCTGCGATTCTTTCGACATTATAACAGGAAAACCATTATAGCTGGTTTCGTTGATCAAGTTTTCTATGTCTTCAACTGTCATGTTATCCTGCGTCAGAACTGCTAAAGGTGGATCGCTTCTTCGAGGTCTCATGACATCAGCAGCCAGTGTTGTGTGAGTAAATTCTTCCTTTGCATCCAAGAAAGGATATCCATTCAGTCGGATGTGCGCCTCGTAGATGCCTTCCCTACCAAAGGCATCTCCTACCCACTTACTGGTCATGACTGCGGCCATTAGGGGCACAATATATTCCAGCCCTCCTGTTAGCTCAAAGACAATAACTACCAGGGACACAGTCATCCTTGTCACACCACCTGCAAGAAAAATGGTAGCCAGTAACATTCCAGTACAGGGTAATAATGAATTTAGAGTCTCCTGCCTTCCCGTTGAGAATAACAAGTGTAACTTTGCCATTAACGGTCATCCTGTAGAATATAGACAGCGGCAGACAGGGAAAACGAACACAGAACTTTTAGAAGCAGAAAAGAAAGCTTTAGGGAAAATTCCTAGAAAGTGAGAGAATAAAGGGATTTGAAAAATACATGCAGTCATTTCATGTAAACTAAGACTAAAACGATGTATGTCTCCACACCACATCTATGTTAAAAATACTGTGAAATGCAAGGAAACCCAGCAAGGTAAGAATCTGGAAAAAGAATGGAACTAATGCAGGGAAGTCACAGGTAACAACTGAACAGCTATGCTGTCCAAAGGATTAGGAATTTAATGCTGTGCCGAATGATAAAAGCTAAAGAGAATTCTGAGCTGATGAAATCTTTCTCGGATAATGGGAGAAGACAGGGATCATATTTCTCTTTTGTTAGTACCCAAGACAGTTTTTTCTGCCAAGGTTTCTGATGCCATACTTTCATTCAGTAAAAGAATATGATCTTCCTTTCAATGCATTCAAAAGCGACTCAAGTTGAACTATTAAAAACCAAAACAACCTTTCCAAAACCTAAATTTGTACCACTAGTTTATTTGACTGCTCAAATACACTTTTCCTTAAGGAAAAGGTCTATTTTTTGCAGAATCTGTACTAATTAGCTTTTCAATTTAATTTCTAAGCCTACGAAGTTATAAGCTAGGATAAGACAAGGCATTCAAAAAACCTCTCCTAGTTTAGGTGCCCAGCTTAAGCCTCCTTCCATGAAGCTCATTTTCAGTGGGTTGTAAATCAGACTTGTTAAAAATACCTCCAGCTGGACTCCTCAAATCAGCAGACGCTTCTGAAAGTTTTGTCTGGATTATGAATTTCAAGAACATTTTTCATAATTCATATAGACGTGGCAGCTGATCACGTCACCTCCTTGTAGTAATTTCAACTCTGCAAATCCTCTACTTCACACGTTTCAAGAAACGGATTTTTCTGACTCATGCAGTAATGACACCTCTTGATACCAAAACCAGAAAGCAAACACTACTACTTAAATTCTTCTATTTCTCATCAATTTAAATGTCACTTTATTCCTCAGATCACAGGGATCTGACGGTCTTGCGTTGAGATGTGAATGTGCTATTCCAAAAAGAGAGAAGTCCATATAAAAAGGTGTTCCAAAACTGCACACGTTTCTGTCTTCTTCCATTTTTTTAATCATCATTTTGGCAACATACATGAAAGCAGATGCTTATTTACTTTGTTATATTTTATTTACCTAAGCAGGCAGCAGCACCAACCATGGCATAAAGACCAGGTGTGATACAGTCAGCTCCAACTTCACACCACTCCTTGAAAATGAACCAGTCGTGATGGTAGTAAGCCAGCTGCTCCACTGCAATTCCTACAATCCTTCCTGCTATTGCTCCGATTGCCATGCTAGGTATGAACAACCCAGACGGAACCTGCAACGAAACCAGAAGAACTGCTGTCATGCCAGTGGGAACATACCCGGTGCATTGTTTTACAAGTAATTTATTTTATTTTTTTTTGCCAAAAGAGATGCAAATGCTCAAATTGTCAGGTTAAAACTACGTAAATTGCCCTTGCAAGGTTAGTAAAACTTAACACAGTGCTATTGATACCTCTGATCAACCTGGTTAGCTGAATCCATTTTATGAGCACCGTCTGTTTATATTTTAGTGTATTTAAGAGCAAATCTATCACCAATACAGGACCACAAACCAGACTCTCGGTGCCAAAAGCACAACTGTTACCACACGCGTGCCCAATCTGAGCTGTGCTACTAGTACTGCAAAGTCTGCCTTACTGATTTCCACCTCCCTTATTTCTTCATATTCCTCCGAGTCAACGTTCACTTCCTAAACAAGCTTTGCACATAAGACTGCCTTCCCAAACTGCTTCCTAACACTGCTATAAATTAGATGCCCAAGTAAACAGATGATTTTTAAAAGAAGCTTTGCTGTCACTTTAGTTATTTAAACTGGTTTTTTTGTTATTAACGAAAACCTGAAAAGGCCACACAGCCTTGTCATACCAACGTGGCTTAGTAAAACACTATTCCAAGTCTTGCTTTTATCAGCAGCTTCATAAGCAGTGAGAGCTCATCTCAGAAACTGCTGTTGTGTATCTTTTCTCCTCCTTAGGAAGCTAATCTTCTTTCCAAAAAACATACTGCTCTCTAAATGTCTCATTAAACTGGAAATGCCTGCCGCTTCTCCTGACAGCAGTTGTCAGTATCAAAATATTATCTACTGTGACTGAAGTACAGATCTGACTACAAGCGAATAGTAGAATTTTTACTTTTTGTCTAAATGCACCTAAACCCACCTTGTCAAAATAACCTCATTAAAAAAACTGAACTCCTGGTGTAACAGGACACATAATTTCTTTTTTTTTTTTCCACTGTACAGCTGTGAAATTTAAGTATTGTACAATTCCAAACTATAGATCTTGCCATGGAATCCAATAGCTGGTGCAGAACTGTACTTCAGAATCTATCCGCGTTATTGCCAGTATTTATGGTTGCAAAGACGATTTCTAACAGACAAACCAAGGACAAACAAACACAGCAAACGCTGTGTTTGAATGCCAGCAGCATAGGTTTTGGTGAAAAAGTTTAATAATCCTTCATTCCCACCCTGAATTACGTAGTATTTCAGTGTTGCGAGAGGTAACCATTCAATGCTATCATTTGAGTGTAATATTCAAATTGTGCATTTATACCACTACTGTTACTTCCCACAACTAATCATGCATCTAAACCCCTTTCTAACTGTTAAAATCCATTTTCTTCCTGAGTGAAATTCTTTCTTGGAGAACAGTTCAATAGCACCCTGAAAAAAACCCATTCCAGATATAAAAATAATTGAAGAAATCTTTGAAACTCCCTCAGATTCTAGTCAGCTACAGCAGCATGTCACAGAAATTCAGTCTCCACGTGGAAACTGCATCCAAATTGTTTCTGGTCCTTTGTTAATGTAACCTTTTTAGGCATCTAGCTCCTTCTCTTCTTTACATCCCATGTGGATAACGGTTACAAGCCTAACGGTAATTACGATTTTACAGCTGCATTCGTTTGCACAAGCCTCTGAATCACAGGTCACAAAGTAGAGAGGAACCTTCACTGAGAAGGAGCATGGAAAAAAAAAGTTCGGTTCTACCTTGTCTGAGCTTTCCTCTCCAGTGCATGCCAGCCTCACTCAAGTGACACTACAGAGGAAAAGACAGGTTCTGTGGCACATGTATCATCTTTGAAACGAGTGAGGAATCAGGGTATGGGTGCAAACTTGCACTTCTTTAGTTGTGCGGCTACGTACCAGCCAGGTTCTGAGGCAAAGCTGTAATCCCACCCCAACTGCTGATCACTGGCATTTAGAGACAGTAACAAGGCTACTGGTAATAAGCAGTACAGTACATGTACAAAAGCCTGAAAGGAAAATCCAAACCAAAAAAACCCAAACCAGTGTCGTATCAGCTTCCTGGTGATCCTTGTTCATGGCAGTAAGAGCAGCAGGAGTCCCTGGGCCCCACGGGCAGCAGCTAAGTCGCTTTGCTTACCTCGGAGGAAAACAGTTCCCCGGGGGGTAGACGTGTGTCTGCACATGGCTACAGCTCCAGGAACAGACCTGGAGAGCCCAGAGCATCCTTAACAATGACTTAAATGACAAAGGCATCTTTTTTTTGTTTTTGAATTTTGAATTTTCTCCTCCTTTCATAGGAATAAAGCTTAAAATGCAAATAAATATAACATTAAAGTGACATCCTCTTCTCCAGACCTCCTGATGCTGGCTAACATTCTAACCAGCCACGCGCCTTAAAGCTTCAGAGAAACGTATGTAGCGCAGTCTCAGCAATGACAGCAGCATGACTCCCTGCCTACTGGCAAAGTAAGAAATATATTCTTACAACTTCACAAAAGTATTTCCACCATGCTGAAGTTCTGAGAAAATGAACCCAAACCAAATGAAGTGTAAGCTCTACCAGCCTGTAATCTAGTGAATTCTAACAGCACAAAGTGTGATCCCGTGGTGTGATCCCATGAGAAAGAGCCAGATGCACACAAACACATGAAAGCTAAACAATGTTATAAAGCTTAGAAGGGCAGAGCCCTAGATATAAGTGAAATACAGCAAATGAATACAAAGCAATACTACAGATTGGAGTGGTCATGTTATAGATTAATATCGGAAATTTTGACCTATGGAAGACTAGCATTTAAAATACACACAAGGGATTTCTCTCACCCATCAACCAACATAATGGAAAGTAACTTCAAATAACCAACTGTAACATCTTCTAAAATATTACTGCATAAGACACACAACACAGTATTCTTCTGTCAGTTACAGAAGGACAGAGTGGTTGAGGTCGGACGTGACTACTACAGATCGTCCAGCTCCGCTCAAGCAGGGCCAACGACAGCAGGCTGCCCAGGATCGCCTCCAGTCAGGTTTTCAGCCTCTCCAAGGACGGAGGCTCCCCAAGTTCTCTAGACAACCTATTCCAATGTTCAACCACCCTCATAGTAAAGAAGCGCTTTCTTATGCATCCACTTACATGGAACAGCAATGCAGACTGAAAAGTTAAAGCCAGTTTAAATACAAATTGTGCTCAGTGAACGTTCTACAACACGTTTGTGTTAAGACATGTTTGATAACGATGTAGTTGCAAAAAACTATGAAGGGAGCCTGACAAGACAGAAAATGATGAAGGCACGACAGTTACATGTCATTCAGAAAACAGTCACAAGCTTGGAGAGAAGCCGAAGAGAGCTCCAAAACAGATTTACAAAAAGACCAGGAAAACAAAAATTATGCTGCTTTGTAATGGAGAAGAAATTCCCATTACAGTCACACGAACAAAGCCCACTTGCTAGTCATGACATGCAATACTGGAAATTTCAGGGAAGAAATCATCACCAGCTCCCTTTGACAGCCTGCAGTAATCACGTTTATGTGATAAATGAGGAGAGGGGATTAAAAAAACCAAACCTACAAGTTGTTCAAGAGGTAAAGTCTTTTCTTCTTCCATGTAACAGGACCAGGGAACCTGTGTGGTTATGTTTCAACTCAGCTGAACTCAGCTCTCGGAAGTTTTAGAATCATCCTTCTTGCTGAATCAAGCCCCTACAAACAGCCATCCAGCCATCCACACAGTTACCGTTCCCTATTCCATTTAGCACACGTTTCTATTCAGCTGAACAAAGGGCTAGTTTGAATTTAACCACACTTAATACTGGTTTCTACAAGACTTGCTTATTAACCAACAGTAAAAAGACCTGTCTTTAAAACACCTACACGTGAAAAAAAAATTTCTATAAATAAAGCTGCTAGCTTTGAGAGATGGAAAATGAGAAAGGTAATAATTAAAGAAACACAGCAGATGGTACAGCCACTGCATTCACACTTACCTTGATACCAAAGGTGAAGACTGTCATGATTATTTTAAATATGAGCGCTAAACACAACTGCCATATAGCTGAATAGACTCCAGTGCCTGCTGGACGGTCAGGAATATCATCTACTATTTTGCTCGCGTTCATATCGTTTCTGTAGTCACAGAGGGAAGAGGATTCCAATGGCCCACAGTCTGTGAAGAGCTCTTTAATAAGCTCACTGGTGTTTAGCCTTGTATATGGATTAGGAAACGCAATGACAGCTGTTATTGCTGCAACAATAATAACTTCCAGGACAGGATACTTCCCAAATTTCGTAGATTTGCGTCGACGACACCATGCAATGTTTGCTCGGATGAAAAACGCTCCCCAGAGCCCACCAAATACTCCCAGAAGAATAAAAGGAAGCAGTTCAAAAAGGTACCAAGGAGTGTGATATTCCACATAAAAAAGAACTAGGCGGCTATTACCAAAAGGATTGATGGACCTTAAAACAAATGCAGCTACTAAAGCAGCAAAAAATGATCTCCATAAAGTTTTCAGTGGGAAATAGTAGCTCACCTGCAAGAGACGAGACATGAGAATTATTAGCGAATCAATTAAAAATACTGGAACGACTGTTTTATGCATGTGTTACAGTACTGCTGCTCACGTGGTATGTGCTAAAACCCAAGTACTCTTACATTATCAGTATTATTCCTATCACGTGGAGCACTGGCGCTCCAGCACATACTACAGTTTTACAAAGCTCTACAACAATTCATACTTGTACCGGTGTTAAAGTCAATACTAAAGCAGTATTGACACCACTGCTGGTTTAAGACTGTTAGGAAAGAATGCACAGTAATTTATGTTTAAAAGCTTCTCTGTTTATAAATAAGGATCTCTTTCTAGCATTCATAAGAACCAGACTGCGTACTAGCTGCTCTCTGACATTTCCTGCTAATACTGTTTCATCTCCATTCAACCTGGAGTGAAAGGTTTCTGGCAGATGTGTTACTTTCATGAAGTATGATAAAAACATTTAAAAAAAAAGTCTCCTCAAAACAGAACATGCCATTTCATACTTAAGTCCCACATAGCCTGACCTGAATTTCAAGAGAGTTTTCTTCTGAGCTTTCCTGGAAGTTTTTTGGCAACAAAGGTATTTCTCAAAAATGCCCTAATGATATAGCAAAATTATACATGAAAGAATATTTTGCTTCCTTTTTTCAATTCAGAGATTTTTTGATTTTTAGTTTTCTTTAAAAATGCTAATGATCTAAATAACAAGCTTACATATTTTGAAAACTACTAATGAAAACTGATTTATACGAAACACTTCTTGGAGAAGAGAGTTTGGTTGCCTTGGAGGTCAGCTTTATAGCATATTTGCCTTTCTAATAATGTATTCAACTGTATTTAGTGTCTGAAACTTTAAGAAAAGTAATGTTTAAAAACTTGCTCTATGAAACTGTCAAATAGGTTTCTAATGCCTCTTTCAAAATGAGAAAAAAAGTGAGCCTGATTTTTTTTTTCCAATGCACTCCTAGAGTGAAAAACTGGTGTACCTCTACCTGCACGTAAACTGTAATTATTAATGACTCAGCCCTTCTCCAGAAAAAGATGACTGAGAATAAAGCAAAACTGACATTCATCCAAAGGAAATAATAATAAAAGAAAATGATCTTTAGGAGTTTGCTGGTAAACTAGGACCCTTGACTCTGAAATGTGGGTCCAAAAATAATTTCCTCCTTCGGAAAGACTCCACAGCTTAAAGGAATCTGAGGTCATTCATGCTAAAAGGGATTTTTTAAAGTATCTACCCTTCAGTGTCACCTCTTGACATACCTCCTCCAGACTGAACAGGACTCCACCGATTGGGGCACCAAAGGCTACAGATACTCCTGCTGCCGAGGCAGCTGACAACACCTGGAAAAGAACAACAGTGAGGGTTATCCTCGCAGCCTGTGACACACTTCAAACGTGAAGAACAGAATCTCATTACAGTTAGCAGTTTCTTCTGTGTTTCTATCAAGGAGACGCAGATTTGCTAACAGGAAAGCATCAAGTATCAGAACATTCCTAAGTACTAGCCATGATGAAGCCAAGGATGCTGCTCAAAGCCCCCCCAGCGAAGCACCCAAAGGAGTCTGTGCTTCAGTATGGAACTGCTGATAGCTCATTTTCACGAAATTGCAGTCAGCTTTCTCTGTGCTACAGCAGGCGATTCCACCCTGTCGTAAGTCAAGGAAGCAGGGCACAAGTCCTGTTCAACTAAGCTGATATCCTTCTATGATACGGTCTCCCACCCACGGGGTGAAGGGAAGGTGGCAGATGTAGTTTTTCTGGATTTTAGTAAGGCTTTCCATACTGTCCCTCACAGCATCCTTCTGGACAAGTTGTCCAGCTGTGGGATGAGCGGGTTCACGGTGCGCTGGGTGAAGAACTGGCTGAAGGGCTCAAAGGGCTGTAGTAAACGGGGCCTGCATCTGGCTGGTGACTGGTCACCAGCAGTGACCAGTCCAGGGTTCAATTCTAGGGCCAGTCCCGTTCAATATATTGATCAGTGATCTGGATGCAGGAGTTGAGTGCACCAGTAGCAAGTTTGCTGATGATACCAAACTGGGAGGTGCTGCTGACTCTCTTGAGGGACAAGATGCCTTGCAGAGGGATTTAGATAGACTGGAGCATTGGGCTATGATTAACAGCATGAAATTTAACAAGTCCAAATGCTGGCTTCTGCACCTAGGATGGATTAGCGCCGGGCACAAGTACAACTGGGGAGAGGAGTGGCTGGCGAGCAG